ATCTATAAATTACAAATAAAAAATATTCTAAAAATAATAAAAAATATAAAAATATAACAATAATAAAACATGAACACGGATTAAAAATACCAAAATCCTAAACTTCAAAATATAAAAAAAAAAAAATCATAAACAGAAAAAGAAGTACTTCATAAGTTGATTAAAAACAAATCATTAAGGCTAAAGCCCATTTAGAAATTGAGTAATTTATGCAAAAAAAAAAAATTAAATTGTAAACCGAAAGAAAATTAAACAAAAACATCAAGAATACGATAATCTAGATTTGCAATGTAGGGGCTCATATAAGAGTAATAAACATAAAACTTAAATTGAAGGCTAAAAAATTTGTTAACAACAAAGTTAACAAATAACCACGAAATCCGTATAAAACAAGATAAAAAGATGACTAACACAATGATTCTTCTTCACTCTTGGCAAGAACTAAATAAAAAATTAAAGTTTCTCTCCCCAATAAATTAGAAATCAAACAATATAATCAATTAACAATTATAATTAAGAAAATTAAAGGTCAAATAATCAATAATTTAAAGATTAAAGTAATAAATAATTAATAATTACAATAATTAATAATTATAAAAAAACGACTCAAAATAAATTACAGGTCTATTGTTAAGAAAGATACTAAAACATTAAAATTATATATACTTTGAATTAGTAAAAGAAAAGAATATGAGTTTATGTGATAAATTATGATATAATTGATAATTAACTTTAAATTTACTTTTTTTACCAATATTTAACATATATTTTTTATTTTATACTTTCATTAGCTTTTAAATTTGCCCCCTTCTTTATTTTTTACCAAATTATGGTACAATAGTTAACCTATATATCGTACACTACTTTTTTAATTTTATACGTTAATTAGCACTGAGACTTTATTTTTTTATGGATGGCACTGACACCTTTAACAATTGCAGTGGGCTCCTCTTGTAGAATTTTTCTATCGAAGGGTTCCATAAATCTTGCTTATCGTCCACGCTTAGACATCTATAACAAAAGCAGTGGGCTCCTCTTGTAGAATTTCTCCATCAAAAGGGGCGCACCATGCTTCTTCTAGGTCATTGCACAGCAATGTGTGTGATAATTAGCACTAAGACACCTTTAACGATAGTAGTGCGCTACTCTTGTAGATTTTTTCTATCCAAAGGTGCCATCAGTCTTGGTTCGTCGTCCATGATCATTGTGCTGGTGCTTCTTCTGCGTCATTGCATGCCAATTTGTGTGCGGCAAATTTGAGATGCTTTCATAAGGTAAGTTGGATGTTCATACACGGTTTCAAAAGGCAACAATGACTGTTAATTTTTCATCTGGTTATAACTTTTAATGTTTGATATTATTGTAACTTATAATTATTTATGATGTTTTATTATGGAAGTGAATATATATTTTATTAAAAAAAATTTCTATAAAAAAAATTTAATTTGTATTTTTTAAGGGTAGTGGACATAATTAGAGTTTTATAAAACATAATCTCAACAACAGTAAGATAATCTTAATTGTCAATTTGTCATCAGCAATAATTTATGACTCTCACGATTAAATAGCTGAAGTCATTGATCTGTCCATGCGGCCCACTGGTTGGGCCACACTCTTCACTGAGAAGCAGGTGGAGATCACTCTTTGTCCCGGGTTCGAACACTCATGCTTACTAACAGATATTAACATAATTAAACTAATTAAGTTTTTATTGTCAAAAAAAAAAAAATAGCTGAAGTCATTTCTTTCTTACAACATACCAAATCAGTCCCGATGAAACATCGGTACTGATTATGGGAAATAAATATTTAATTTAACTATTAATTTTAAAAATTTTAACTGTAAAATAAGTTTTTAAATATATAGCACCGACACTTCATTTTTTATGAATGGCACTGACACCTTTAACAATTGCAGTGGGCTCCTCTTGTAGAATTTTTCTATCGAAGGGTTCCATAAATCTTGGTCGTCGTCCACGCTTAGACATCTTTAACAAAAGCAGTGGGCTCCTCTTGTAGAATTTCTCCATCAAAAGGCGCGCCCCATGCTTCTTCTAGGTCATTACACAGCAATGTGTGTGGTAATTAGCACTAAACTAAGACACCTTTAACGATAGCAGTGCGCTACTCTTGTAGATTTTTTCTATCCAAAGGTATTATTAGTCTTGGTCGTCGTCCATGATCATTGTGCTGGTGCTTCTTCTGCGTCATTGCATGCCAATTTATGTGCGGCAATTTTGAGATGCTTTCATAAGGTAAGTTGGATGTTCATACACGGTTTCAAAAGGCGACAATGACTTAATTTTTCATCCGGTTATAACTTCTAATCTATATATATATAAGGTGTTAATGCCCACCTTATCTTTAAAAAATTAGGAGAAAAAAAAATAAAATTACTTTAATACATGCTTTAAAAATAAGATAATTTAGTCTTTTTTAATAAAAATTTATTAAAACGACGTAGTTTTGGAATGATTTTCCTCTTAATATTTAGGAAGTAAGGCTGATAGGCACTATTTTCTATATATAATGTTATCTTATGCATTAAATAGAGTATACATTTATATATATTTAATAT